TTGTACTTTGTTCAGTGATTGATGTAGGTTTTTTTGATGTTTCAGTTACAAGAAACTTTGCCCCAGAAAATGTTGGCAGCCTCCAGTGGAATCAAACATACCATGACCCCAATTTATCCATGTTCTAACACATTAGTGGAAATGACTCTTGGGTAAGAAATTTATTATTTGGGGGCGCCTGGGTGGCTCAGTCGTTAAGCGTCTGCCTTCGGCTCAGGTCGTGATCCCAGGGTCCTGGGATCGAGCCCCGCATCGGGCTCCCTGCTCTGCAGGAGGCCTGCTTCTCCCTCTCCCTCTCCCACTCCCCCTGCTTGTGTTCCGTCTCTCGCTGTGTCTCTCTCTGTCAAATAAATAAAATCTTTAAAAAAAAATTTTTTTTAATTAAAAAAAAAAGAAATTTATTATTTGGTAACTATGATGTTTCCATTCATTTTTATTTCAGTTTGTGATCTTGCTCTTTTATTTTGAAATTTGGGGTATTTGGTGTGAATACATTTGCAAATGTTATTTAATGGCTTAGTCTAATCTAGAGAACTAAAACGTAATAGAATTCTAAAACATTTCCATACTTTTTTGAGCAGAGACATTGATACTTGTTTTGTTTGTATAGTATGAAGAAATTAAAGGAAGAAATGGAAGGGGTGGTTAAAGAACTTGCTGAAAATAATCATATCTTAGAAAGGTAAGTAACACAAATATTATTCTGCCCTGTGATTTTTTTTATGCAAGGGAATACATATAGATCTATATTTGTACCTGTCTGTCTTCCTGTATTAGTAGGTTAAAGTAATGGGGAAAGGATATAAAGTCAGAACCCTTTTGTTTTGTGATTTCCATGGTGCCTTTTATTTTTATTTTTATTTTTATTTTTTAAGATTTTATTTATTTATTTGAGACAGAGAGAATGAGATACAGAGAGCATGAGAGGGAGGAGGGTCAGAGAGAGAAGCAGACTCCCTGCCGAGCAGGGAGCCCGATGCGGGACTCGATCCCGGGACTCCAGGATCATGACCTGAGCCGAAGGCAGTCACTTAACCAACTGAGCCACCCAGGCGCCCCGCCATGGTGCCTTTTAATGTGTTTGGGGTTGCTTGGATAAAGACAAGTCAGCTGTGATCGATTCCATTTTATAGTAGCACTGGTTAATAGAATTATTTGCTTATTTGAATCAGTTTGTGAAAATGAAAATCTTTTGCACATTATTTCTCATACATCTCATTAGAATCGTAATTTATTGGGGTGCCTGGGTGGCTCAGTCGGTTAAACGTATGACTCGATTTTGGCTCAGGTCATGATCTCAGGTTCAGGAGATGGAGCCCTGCCTTAGGCTCCGTGCTCAGTGGGGAATCTGCTTGAGGATTTTTCTCCCTCTCCCTCTTCCCCTCCCCATGCTTGTTTGCTCTCTCTAAATAAATAAATAAATAAATATTTGAGAGTGTACATGCACAAGTTGGGGGTGGGGGGCAAAAGGAGAGGGAGAGAGAGAATCTCAAGCAGATGCCTCACTGAGCTCAGAGCCTGAGGCTGGGCTCAGTCTCCCAAACCTGAGATCATGACCTGAGCCAAAATCAAGAGTCCGAGGCTTAACCGACTAAGGCACCCAGGTGCCCCGAATGTTATCATTTTTAATGTTTGCTGATTTGTTTAGTAAAAACGGGTATCTTATTTTAATTTGCATTTCTTTGGTTAATAGTAATATGAAGCATCTTTTTATGTTTATTCAAATTTGTGTGTGTGTGTGTGTAAATTGCCTTTTGATTTTAAAATCTTTTTTTCTGTTGGTTTATAGCAATTACATAGTAATTATCTAACTTTTTTATAGTACCCAATTTAGTTTCTTCACAACTTGAGCTAAATATCAGCAAAAAGAGACTATTAAGATATGCTTTAACAAACTTATATTGAATCTCTTCTGCCTTGTGACATAAAATCCTCACTTCTTAAACCATGTTGCATAAGTCACTTTCCCCTGTTTTATCTGCAAATTTATTTGACAATATATGGGTGATACAACATGGCATAATCATAGCTTAAATGTTAAATGACGGCTTAAGGATTTGTGCCAGAACTAATGAGCACTGTCTCCATGTGGCTGTCTTATTATCACTTCATTTCTTTTGTATCTAAAATCACGTCATATCACCCTTCCCAACTCAGTTTCCCCTCCAATTTCCTCATTCTCTTCAGTGGAACCACCTTTTTCCTGCTCCCTTGAACATAGGTTATTTTATATATTAACTCTCTTTTTTACTGCCTTTCATCGAGTTTGGTAATCTTCCTTCAGAATGTTTCCATATTCCCCCTCTTGGCCTCATCAGACCTCCTTCCTCCTCACATGGGAGCTGTGGTGATAACCTACCACCTATCTTCCTAAGCCTAGGCTTTTCCCATCTGTCATGGCTATTAAGCCCAAACAATCTTCTCAAACACTGATCTACTGGCGTACTCCTTTGGCTCAAAAATTTCTAAACTCCTGTTACCTAAAAGGTCAAGTCTAAATTCACACTTGAATTCAAAGAGTAGAATACTCTGGCCCAGCCCATTCACTCAACTTCCTACTAGTCCCCAAAATAACATTCGGTTCTAGCAAGGTTGCATTCCTTACTGTCCGTTGAGTATGTCAAACTCCCAACTCCTTATCTTTGCTTTTCTAAATCCCACCCCACCAAGAAGAAGTTATCCAGTTTTTCCTTACTTTCTAGATCACATCCCTCACCCTTTTCTCTTAAGAAGTCCTCCCAAGGGGCGCCTGGGTGGCTCAGATGGTTAAGCGTCTGCCTCCGGCTCAGGTCAGGATCCCAGGGTCCTGGGATCGAGCCCTGCGTCGGGCTCCCTGCTCAGCGGGCAGCCTGCTTCTCCTTCTCCCTCTGCTGTTCCCCCCCGCTTGTGCTGTCCGGCACACACGCGCACTCTCTCTCTCTCTCTTTCTCTCTCTCTCTCTGTCAAATAAATAAATAAAAATCTTTGGGAAAAAAAAAAAGGAAGACCTCCCAAGCCACCGATTGGTATTTTTTTCACGTATTTATAATAATATCACTGTGTTTCAGTAAGAAATAGAGCAAATCATAGTTGCTTTAACTCTTTAACAGCTTGTTCATCTGAAAAGTCTCCTGTATTCTTCTTTAAAATATTGGGGGCCAAATAAATGAATCATCTGAGATTTCCTTTTTTCTTTTGTGTTTTAGGTTTGGCTCTTTAACCATGGATGGCGGCCTTCGCAATGTTGACTGTCTTTAGCTTTCTGGGAAGTTTGAGAACAGTTTTAATTTGCACAAGAAAATAATGTTGGGGCATTAAATGAATGCCTCTATAAGTGGTCTCTTATTTCTACAATTCAGTATTTGGTGTGGTCATGTAAATATGTACAATATTGTAAATACATTAAAAAATATATAAATTTTTGGCTGCTGTTAAGATGTAATTTTACCTTTTAACATTTATAATTAAATGAGGACATTTGACCTCAGTGAGCACTAGAAGAAAGCCATGACCTATGATATGTTGAAATACTAATCCTCTACTCTTCTGAGTGAGGCTGAGTTCTACATCTCTGACTGCCTACTGGAAACATTTTTTAAATGGAACCAAAATTGTCATCCTTACAAATCAGAAAAGACTAATAGTTGACATGTTTATAAGTGATAGAATGGAGAAGTGGCTTCTTTGGGTAAGGAGCTGAACCAAACCACTGTTTTACTAGGATCACAATTTTGGGGGAAGGATAAAGTGACATTTCATTTTACAAGGTGCCCAGAACCCAGTTATCATCATATGTGTTTAATTTCAGATAAATTATTGAGCAGAATTTTTAAAGTGATGTAATTATTAAAAACTGTTCGTTTTATTTTGGCCATAAGTGTACAACTGTCTTAAAAATTTTAGGATTATTTCCACTGTTTCAAGCTGTATATTTTTTGTTTAATTTAATTCCACTTATTCCATCATGAAAAAATATCAATAAATTTCTCAGTTTTAATGTAAAAGTTTGTATTTTTCTGTGTACAACAGTTTGAGAAACAAAAGTCTTTTGAAAGAAATAATATCTGTGGTGATTGCAAATCATTCTCAGACTACTGGATATAAGGACAGTTTTGTTTCTCTTCTAAATCTGATTCTAATTTAGTATAAGTTCTCCAATTAATTTATGCTATCTGGGGGACGCCTGACTGAGCCACCCAGGCACCCCTGGGCATTCTTGCTTTTAATATTTTACCTTCAAAAATACAATCCTGGGGCGCCTGAGTGGCTCACTTGTTAAGTGTCTGCCTTCGGCTCAGCTCATGATCCCAGGGTCCTGGGATCAAGCCCCGCATCGGGCTCCCTGCTCCGTGGGAAGCCTGCTTCTCTCTCTCCCACTCCCCCTGCTTGTGTTCCCTCTCTCGCTGTGTCTCTCTCTGTCAAATAAATTAAAAAAACAAAAACAAAAATACAGTCCTCATTCAGAACATTTTAAGTTAATGAATACATGGTGATACTAGTCTGCTGATCTAATAACCTGGTAAGTTACATCTACAGTTTAGTAGCCTTTTTTTCATTACTGAGATATATTTTCAAAAGGTAGGGATTAATGATATAAAAATAGTATACAGTTAGTGGATTTAACTCTTTACATAAGCTATAGTTCTAACAAGAAATAAAAAATGAAATAAGTGAACATAAAGCATATGGGAAAAAGGATATTTTTGAGTAAATAAAAAAGGAATTAGAGGTTAGGGAAGAAATGTGAAAAATAATCCCATAACATCTTCTGAAGTTCCAGGTTCTATTATTTTGGAAATTACCAAATACTATATAATTGGCTTTTAGACCTAATTACATTATGTCAAGCAGGATGCCTCTATTCTTAGATATAAAAGATCTTAAAATATTTATTTCAAAAAATATTTATCAATAAATTATCCAGAAAGGAATTATAATAATCTTGGATTTATCTTGCTTTCCTGTTACTTTTTTTAAGCAATAATTTCTGTGGTGTTCTGTGCTAAAAATAAGAGGTAAGTTGTTTGGAATTAAGAAAGGCACTATCAGTAGGAATAAGCAATCTCAACTGATATATCAAAAATTTATTCTCCCTTCAGAATCATAGTTACAACCAGGATTAGTCTGCTATTTCTGATTTCACCCCACTCAGAAATGCCTATTATACATTGTGCTTTGTCTTTCAGAAGTGCTGTAGGAAATTTACTCAAATGTTTAAAACTCAAGTGCTGAAAATATAAAGTGTTGAAAATATAAAGGAGTTGTAACGCTGTTGTTTTAGCTGGATCCATCATCCACATCCCATTTTTTTTAAAGATTTTATTTATTTGAGAGTGAGTGAGAGAGAGCATGAGCCGGGGGGAGGAGCAGAAGGAGAGGGAGAAGCAGACTCCCCACTGAGCTGGGACCCCGATTTGGGACTAGATCCCAGGGTCCTGGGATCATGACCTGAGCCAAGATGCTTAACTGACTGAGCCACCCAGGTGCCCCCACATCCCATTTTTAAGAGGACTAAAGTTGGGGCTCCTGGCTGGCCCAGAGAGCATGCAACTCTTGATCTCGGGGTCATGAGTTTGAGCCCTACATTGGGGGTAGAGATTACTTAAAACAAAACAAAACAAAAAAAAGACCAAAGTATCTTCAAAAGCCTTACACTTGTTTTATTTGGACTTCCTCCCCAGTTGTCACTTACAGGAAGACTCAACGTCCAAATCCTAAGGAATACCAAAAATGGAATAGAAAACAAAGACACCGACGTGGAAATAAAAACTGGTAATAATATCGTTTGTGTTTTTTAGCATACAGATCACCAAAAATTTAGTGTGTATAAAAGCACAACCCAAATATTACATCAGGATGTTTAGGGACTAAGCAAGCTATCATAAGTTTGACATAAACAGAATGTGCAAAGACTAGTGGTTAAACATAGCTTCAGGTGAGAACCTCAGTCCCAGTTGCTTAGTAGAGAGCTAGACATTAGTGTCTGCTGAAATAATACACAATAATATTAAAGGTCTAGAAAAATATTCAACAAAGGGTCAAATTCCAAAACAGGACCCTAGAAAAAATCTTGTTCTTTTACACATTTCTTGGCTTATAAGAATCAAATTTTTTTTTCTGGAATAAATTCCTGCCAGAGTTTAAAATACATAATCATGTTTTCACTGGAAAAATTTTTGGTCTGTACAGAGTAAAACATTTTTAATTTGTACAAAACAAATGCGATCCAGGCTATGGCTTTGGGAGGTAGCTCGTTAATCACCCAAGTCCTACCAATTGCACTGAAATTCTGCTGGATGCTGAACTTTAGTGGATACTGATTACTTCGCTCCTCTGTGAAAGTAATTGTGTTTTTCTGAAGCGGTGGGGTGGGGGGGTCTATGCTTAAAAATTATCAAGTGTTATAATAGGTTAGACTTTCTGAAGCTTAAAACTCTTTCTTTAGAAAGAACATCTATTAATACCAGTTTCTAGTTATGAGGGCTAAGGTCTAAAGGACAAACCAAAGGAATGACAGGGGAAGGGGATTTAGGGCTAACAGGTGGTCCCCAGACATATTGGCTGGAAGAGAGTTCACAGCTAAAGTGTCATATGTGGGTGTTACTGTGTTTTCCTCATCCATATACTCTATAGGGAATCATTCTGGAACATTCATAGTTCTGGCTATGGCCATAAAAAGTGACTTCAACAAGACCTTCAGAAGAATAGCTCGTCTCTTTTACTGGTTCCCCAAATCACTGACCTGCTCAAAGAATCGGAAATCCAAATTGGTCTGGAGCCAAGGTAGAGGTAAGTTATCTCAAGCTAATGCTTCATTTCAAATGTTTTTTGTTTTTGTTTTGTTTTGATTTCTGTTACTAAAATGGAGCCTCCCTCAAGTACAGAGAAAAAATAAAGCTCTTAGGGGTGCCTGGGTGGCTCAGTCGTTAAGCATCTGCCTTCGGCTCAGGTCATGATCCCAGGGTCTTGGGATCGAGCCCCGCATCAGGCTCCCTGCTCCTCAGGAAGCCTGTTTCTCCCTCTCTCACTCTCTCTGCTTTAATAATAATAAAGCTCTTAAGGCATTATTTAACATGATTGAGTAAAAACTGAGAGAAAATGAAAGCAATTTGAAGGTGAGGTATTAAAAGCCATGAACATTTCTGTAATTCCAACTTTATGCTTCATAGGCATTTAGGTTCAGAGAAGTTTTCTAGAGAAAGTTGGAGAATCCTTAGCTTTAAAAAAAAATAACAAAATAGCTTTTATTTTCAATGAACCTTAATTTGCTTATACAATTAAAATACCTCAGAACACACAGAAAAGAATAAATTAATGACAGTATGTTTCTCCTTTTCCTAGAAAACTAAAAAGGTCAATGGACCTTATATGTCTTAGGTTGGGGGTCAGTTTATGCAGTATATTTTAGTCTGGGTTGTTTTTTTGTTTTTGTTTTTTGCTCTTTTTGGGGGGGTGGGGGGTTCAGTCAGGTTTTGATGTGAGATTTTAAAGTACCTTAAATACACTACTACATAAAGCTCTGTATTTTCTACCCAGTCCTGCCGATGGGAGTGTAGAAGGGTCAGAGGAGAGGGGAATGAAGGGAGTAAATGGGCTCTCCAGGTCTGGTTTCTGGAGCGCCTGCTGCGGAGCTGGCCTTCACCTTCACGCTCTGCAGGCAGGAGGAGGGTTGGGCACAGCCCTGGAGCAAGGTGAGCAAGTTCTCTGTGTAATGCTTCAGGCTGCAGCAGGATTAAAATTACAGTCCTGTGTTCTTTGACACCCATATAGGTCTGCGTCTTATATAAGCACTTAACGTTTTCCCCTTGTCTGGTAGATTTTCAAACATCATCTGAGGATATGATACATGATCCAAAATCAGATCCTCTTTTTTTTCTTCCCAAGTAAATTCTAGGTCCAGTGTCGGGCTTGAACTCACAACCCCTAAATCAAGAGTCACATGCTCTACCAAATGAACCAGCCAGGGGCCCCCAGATCTTCTTTTAATTAAAACAGAAATGACTGTGATCTATAATCACTAAGGAAGATATCTGATTAAGAAATCTACAAAATGTGAGGCCTAGTTATTTCAAGCATCTATTTTTCCTTTAATTAATATTTTATTTTATTCTTTTTCACTGTCAAAATATGGGGAATCTAAATCGTTTCAAGGTCCCTCTGTTGATATGTATCATCCTTCGGATATGGAATAGCATAATTTGGATGTCAGAGCCCTAAGAGAACTTAGAAAAATCATCTTCTCTAATCCCTTCATCTTATTTTATTTTTTAAATTTTCTTTATTTATTGTAAGTGATCTTTACACCAAACGGGGGGCTCAAACTCATAACCCTGAGATCAAGATTCGCATGCTCTTCCGACTGAGCCAGACAGGCACCCCTCCAATCCTTTCATTTTAAAAATGAGTAAATTGCCTCCAAATGGTTAAATAACTTAGCCTTCCAAAACTCTTACGTGGGAAGAAACAGAAGTTTTTTGTTTTTTGGGTTTTTTTTAAAGATTTATTTATTTATTTGAGAGAGCGAGAATGAGAGAGAGAGCACATGAGAGGGGGGAGGGTCAGAGGGAGAAGCAGGCTCCTCGCTGAGCAGGGAGCCCGATGCGGGACTCGAGCCCGGGACTCCAGGATCATGACCTGAGCCGAAGGCAGTCGCTCAACCAACTGAGCCACCCAGGCGCCCCGAAGAAACAGAAGTTTATCCTACATGATGACTCTTGATCCAGTGCTTTTGTTGCGGAACCACAGTGCAGTGTTCGGTACGTGCGCATCAGAGGATGTGAACCTAGAAACCCTCACGGAGTATCTCACACAGAGCCTTCATCAGTGGGTCATCTTTCCCTAGAAAGTTTGGTGATTTCTTCTTCCAAAGCAAAGCTTGCTAGTATTCTCATTAGTTTGGAGATTAATTAGTTTGGAGATGAGCCTGTTTCCAGAACTCTTTTTACTTACAATCTGATGAAATAAAGTATTTTGATGAGATAATACCCCATTCTAAGGAGATTATTTAAATATATGCCTTGCAGGGGCTCCTGGCTGGCTCAGTCAGTTGAGGGCCTACTCTTTTTTTTTTTTTTTTTTTAAAGATTTTATTTATTTATTTGACAGAGACACAGCGAGAGAGGGAACACAAGCAGGGGGAGTGGGAGAGTGAGAAGCAGGCTTCCCGCCGAGCAGGGAGCCCGATGCGGGGCTCAATCCCGGGACCCTGGGATCATGACCTGAGCCGAAGGCAGACGCTTAACAATTGAGCCACCCAGGCACCCCGGTTGAGGGCCTACTTTTGATTTTTGGCTCAGGTCATGATCTCAGGGTCCTCGGATGGAGCCCCATGTCGGGCTCCACACTCAGTGGGAAGTCTGCTTGAGGATACTCTCCCTCTCCCTCTGCCCCTCCCCCAGCTCATATGTGCGCACTCTCTCTCTCTCTCTAAAATGAATAAATAAGGGGCCCCTGGGTGCTTCAGTTGTTAAGCGTCTGCCTTTGGCTCAGGTCATGATCCCAGGGTCTGGGATCGAGTCCTGCGTCGGGCTCCCTGCTCAGCAGGAAGCCTGCTTCTCTCTCTCCCACTCCCTCCTGCTCTGCTCTATCTCTCGCTCTCAAATAAAGAAATAAAATTTATTTATTTATTTTTTAAAGATTTTATTTATTTGACAGAGACAGCGAGAGAGGGAACACAAGCCGGGGGAGTGGGAGAGGGAGAAGCAGGCTTCCTGCTGAGCAGGGAGCCCGACAAGGGACTCGATCCCAGGACCCTGGGATCATGACCTGACCTGAAGGCAGACACCCAACGGCTGAGCCACCCAGGCGCCCCAATAAATAAAATTTTAAAAAATAAAAATAAAGTGAATAAATCTTAAAAAAAAATAAATATATGCCTTACAGAATCATATCCCCTCAAAAGCAAGAACTATCTCTTATCCTGTCTCCAGTGTTTAACACAATATTTTGTATAGTGGGCAGTTAATAGCTATTTTTCTTACTGAATTGACTTAATGAAGACAGCCATATGGGACCTGAATTGTATGAATTAAGAATGAATTGACTCTTAGAAATCAGCTAGTCCCTTGCTCCAGCCTTTTGTGTAGATTGATGGATTGTGGCCACCTACAAAAGATGGCTCAACATCAGGTCACCTCTTCAGGATTAAACTCTTTCTGTCACTCATCAATATCTTACGGTCTAAAAGCGCCACAGAAATTTGTCAAGGGTTCCCTACGTACCTCCACCCCAACCAACCCCACATGAAAACTTACATGGTCTCAAGGCAGGACCAGTGACTGATATTTTAATACTAATTAAGTGCATATAACTTTAGCTCACTCTCCTTTATTTCTTCTCTATCTCCCCACCTTAGAAAGCAGTAAGTTATACCAAAGCATAAACTAGGAAGAAATACAGACAGACAGTCACAAATCTGAATTCAGTACCTATTTTAAGCACCTCATTAATCTATGGTCTTGAAGGGAAAGAATGGGGAGAGGTGTAGGAGCAAATCCACGTTCAGTGGCTTGGAGCCCTTTCTAATCAAGTTGAGAAACCTCAGCTATGTGTGAAAACCACAGAGCTCAGAAGCCTGGGCGTCCGAGGGGGAGAGCACAGGACTGTGGTGTCAGACCTTGCTTCTGCTGAGAACTCCGTGGCTCCGAGCATGCCGCTGGGATTTCTGATCTGTAAAACGTAAGGATTGGGCTTGATCTTAAAGATTCCTTCCCGCTTCGTAAATGCCGTGACCCTAAGGTACAGTAATATAGATAAAGCAGCTGCATAGTTGCTGAAGAGAGCAGAGAAAGGGGAAGGTTTCTGGAAGTCAGATAGCAAGTCACCAAGTATCTACAGAAACAGGACTGCCTCATGAATCGTCCATGTATCTGAGCGCTTACGTGAAATCCTGTTTAAGGAGCTTATGTATCAAATGCATTACATGCTCTTTTTCTAAACAAATGTGAGATCTAGACTCTCCATACATATGGATGAGCCGTAACCTTTAGGCTCCTACATGTTGAAATTGGCCTTGTTTTGAGATTAGTCTCAGAGAAGGAAGGGTACCAGGGGGCTCTTTTATACCAAGGATCTCCTCTGGTCCTCCCTCTCACCTTTTTGCCCCAGGTTTTAGCAGTTAGCTCAGTGAAATTTGGTGGCTGAATGAAAGTCTCTTGTTTCCTATAAGGAGGCAGATATGAGCACATCTGGAATACACAGAAAACCACCTCCCTCGCATGGGGAAGAAGACAAAGGGGAGAGCTGCTCACCAGACAGCATCCCATTTGTTCCCAGTGTTGCATGGCTTCCTCATGGGCAGCTCTGTAGAGGAGGAACCCTGATGAGGACACCCCCCCAACCACAAATGAAGAATAGAGAGTAGGGTGTAATCTCCTGCTAGCATTCATTCTCTGTCCATCAGTGAGGCAACAGGTGGGCTAATGGACAAGATGGCGTCACAGAATCTATAAGGCCTATCCTGTACTTAGTGGTGTATGAGAAGCAAACTCTCTCTGACTCTGAGAGGGAGCAAGCTCAACACCAATACGACACCATCACCATCAAACGCTGATTATCTTCCCTCTGCAAGGACAAGGGAGAAAGTTGAGATGCAGAAAAAAAGTATATTTTCACACACACATACACACACAAGAAGAGTTCTCACAGATGATTTAAACAATAATTGAAGCCCTTAACAATATTACCAAGCCAGGGGCACCTAGGTGGCTGAGTCAGTTAAGCATCTGAATCTTGAGGTCAGCTCAGGTCTTGATCTCAGGGGTGGGGTTGAGTTCAAGCCCCGTGCTGGG